CTTCTTAAGTGTATGTATAAAATCACTCGCACTACAATAGAATTTCAAGTCAAAAAATGGTTTATTGTCTCGATTGCTATCACATCATATAGCGATGTTTCAGAACAAAAGCGGTTCCTTCTTCAGGCAAACACATGTATTATTATTCGGTCAGGAGTGCGATGGGTACACTGGATTTAGGTTCTCCTTAAGGAGACATTAGGGGTCAAGCAATGAAGCTTATCAAGTACAGATCATGCTTGATGAGCTTCATCCCTGGCCAGGGAATGACAGCTTAGAAAATGGAAGTGACAAAATCCTTGTCCCTTCCGGCTTTATTTAATGGAAGGGAGATCAGCAAACGGATTTTCACTGGTCTCCCTCTCTTTGAGCAGTTTACACCTGCTATACCATTCCTAGGCCCGCAGTAGGAGCAGGGGGCATAAGGAGGCCAGGATTCAGTACATTATGAGGGGAAACCGATGCCGCCCAATTCACTTCCAGTATAAAGCAGTCAGCTTTACACATGTGGGCAGACACTATAGCAGCCAGGAGTCTGCTTTCAGGGCCCCGGCTATGCCATACAGCAGCTGAAGTAAAAGGGTTAAATAGTAATCAGGCGAATTGGGGAAAATGGAACTGCCCCCACTAATCTGCCCCCGCTTTCCCCCTCCCACTCCTCTTACCTTTGGAAGAACGCTGCTTCCCCTTTGCCGCTGCCAGTGTACAATCTGTCCCCCATACACAGCATTGCAGCCCTGCACTATGGATTTCAAATTACACTTGCAAATGGTGAGCACCTTTTGGTCAGCGCGGTCACCTGACCACTCTGACCTATGAGAAGCGCTTCTGACCGCACTGACCAATGAGAAGGAGTTGTAAAGTCCCAGCATATACTATCCTGTTATAACATCAGCATTGTAATAGGAATACATACTGTTTTTGATAATGCAATCAAAGCTTACTTGAACAAATCCCTTTTATGTAGTGAGTGCCGCCTTCTGTCCGCCCATCACTTTCATCAACTTCCTGGATTCCCAGTGTGCTTTGCCTCTCTTTCCCTGCTGCTTGGTGTGATGCAATATCAATTGCTCAAGACTACATTTCCCATCATGCATTGCTTGCAGCAAGCAATGATAATGTTACATTGTTCAAACGTTGTGTTGTAGTTCAGGAGGCACGCTCTGTGAGAGTTGTGACACAAGGAAGTTCATATTCACAGGGCTGAGTGAAATTGTGTCACTGCATTGAGGAAGTACCTCCTATGGCATCCTCAATAAATAAATTGACAAACTTCTAGATGGGTATGGTTATTAGGTGTGAGATACAATTTATGTAAATTCAATACAGAAATACATATTTGGTAGTTTTTGACCATAGGTACCCTTTAAGTAAATCAACCCTTAGTGTATATAGCCGGCACTATAAGGAGGAAAGCTCTATACAAACCCCATCTCTTAGAAAGTCAGCAATGCTTGCATAGGATTTTCGGCGGACTCCAGCGTCGAGGGAGCACATTTACAGTAACAGCGAGCATGTGCCTTCTATATAATCAATGTGTCAGTTAGATTTTCTTGTAGCAGCATACTCACTTTAGGCTTTACATGGATCAACAATGAATAATAATGAATAGGAATAAAGAGTTTATCAAATAAAAACAAAGGCATGAGGCACGCGTGCCAGGACAGCTGTGTATGTAATTGTAGTATGTGTAGAATCATTGTGTACATTTATATACACAGATCTCCTTATGATAAGTGCCTTTGTCATCAGTTCTTTATGGTTATTCATTACGTTTCTGTGTAAAGCTCAAACCATACCAATCTACGTCATAGCAAGTCCTGTGACAAAGATAGGGATGCTCTGAGTTAATGGAGAAAATCTTAAGTCTAGTGGTGTCAGTTTTCTCTTTGAAGTTGTGAAAAAGGATTATAAACATTCAAAAGTTACTCTAAAGAGCTGAACTGTGTTAAGGCAACCCCAATATTAGTGCTGCAGGAATACATGTTTGCCAACATTATACTTTCAAGACTGGCGTGCTCTGTAGATGTCCTATCTGCCACAGTGGTAGATGGTACATGTAGTAATTTCATGTAAACACTAAAGTTGGGTATACACACTTCAAATTCTAGCCGATTCTTGATGAACCGGCCAAAGTTCGCTGTGTGGGTGCCTCTGTCGGCACCATTTCACCTGGCATCCCTTGATCAGCTGATCGAAGGAGGTGGTTGAAAAATTCTCACCCGAATGGAGCTACCAATCAGCTGCTAGCTCGGTTCAGGTATTCTAAAAAGGAAACAATGGGGGATTTTTGCATCAGGGCTTGTAAGTGTTGATGGAGGAATCTGTGTATAACCAGCTTTACAAACCCAGGTGATGCAGTTGTGTGGGTGGAGCCAGGCAAAGCCACAATAAATTTAAAGGAGAACTATGAGATGAGTGATTTCCACTCACCTCATAGTTCTAGCCGACCTGTGACAATGAGACTGTCACAGGTCGGCTCAGTAGATCGGGAGGTGAGCGAACACATACCAGGTTCGCTCACC